TTTTTTAGCAAAAGCAAAGTTAACTATTTGAGAAATACACCAAACTGCTGGTGATACTAAACTCTGTGGCTTCAGATATGTATGTAGTATGTAGTTATGTGCTTATACATATTACCCATACCTACATACATACCTACAAAATGACAGTGTACTTACACATACACATGTATAAGGATGCGAGTAAGAATAATTTGAATTGTGGTCATATTTGCCCTATTTAAACACTTCCACTGATCGTGGATCAACAGGAAGACTCCGCAAAACTACAAATTGTCGCCGTAACCAGCATTTCGATTTGCTATCTCTGGAACCTCTGATGTTGTCTGCTGTCATGATTCGTTGGTGTCTTAACATCACTTCGACTTGTCGATGAATCTGTACATGCTAGTAATGGAGCATTTAGATCCTCTTTAGATATTGCATGAAGAATTTGCTTAATATATCATGTATTTTAATCGAGGCTACGGCTACGGTACCGATGGTTGTACGGGAGACTCATCCTTGCTGCACGTTCACTAACGACCCAGTGATCCGTGGTTATTAACACAACAATCTCCTTTCTATAGCAGTTTAGCTAGAGCCGCCTCATCAAATGCTTCTGCCCCATACACCAGTACGTTCATTATGAGCAGTGTGACCAACCGTAGTTCTTTCGGAAGTACAGTTTTTTAGCAATATTTTGTACTTCAGGTCTTGTACATCACCCATCGGTTAAGAAGTTTCGAAGATTAGCGTAAATGAACAGGATTTTTATATATTAAGATAAGCACGTTGCGAGGAGCATTGAAAAAATGTCGTTCTCGTGTTGAAACCTCCTCATCTTTTAAGTTGAAACCAACAAAACACACCCACGAAATTTCATTGAAATCGGTTCAGCGGTTTCGGAGATTAGCGTAAGTGACACGGAAGCTTTATATATTAAGATGAGAGAAACTCTTCACGACACAATCAAAGTTGATTGATTTTAAACGATCAATTAGATCAATAACTGAGGTAATATTCGACACAATTTAGACGCCAGTGATGAGCAATTTTGATATAAAATGCACTAATATAAATTCGAATAGAAACAGTAATTGTATGCCTTTTAAAAATAATTCAATTAATTAAGTTCGTTTTTTTTATCTTTTAAATTAATTAAAACATATAAATTATATGGATAAATTAACATTTTTCGCTTTCCTTACCTTTTTCAAACGCATTTTTTGTAAGCAAAATTTATGTTATCAGCCAGCGCATGCAAACTTAAGAACAATGTTGGTGGATGAAAAGCCTTTAGGCGATATTTTTTGGTTAATGGATATAGTTAATATGTTTTCATATTAAAATACATATGGTTTTATAGTGAAAAATAAAAAGTTAATTTGGGTCCATTTTATGAAACGTATTTTGAATAACTAAAATAGAAATTTGCAAAAATTTAAAAACTGTAACTACTCGTATTACAAACTTGAGAGAAGCTTCGCTTTCGCTTAAGGTCATAACCAGTGTTGCCATTTTAGTGCTTTCCAGCTAGATTTGGCTTTTTTTCGCCGTTTAGCTAGAAAAATTCCAATTTAGCTGCTAGCTTTTTTTTTTGTTTTTTTTTTCTGAAAATCTTTAAGCTCTTTCTAGATTTTTCCAAATTTCGGAAAATCCAATTAAAAAATAGTATACGAATAAACACGACTCAATTAATCTTCACAAAGTTGTAATAAGCGATATGTCCTCCATTACTGTATGCGCCCATAACTCTGTTTGAGAGGACAAATAATCGATTATTGCAATGCTATGTTCATCGCCAGGGAACGGATTTTATGGAAATTGCCTTTTTTCTGCTGAAGGCATTTGCTGAAGAATTTTGCTTAAGTTTTTTTTGTGAAACAAGAGCACAAGACAATCCATGTTTGCAAAAGAAATATATGCCCATGTATCAGATGTCGAAATTCCTTTTTTGGCCATTTCTTGAGAGCTGTATACTGGCCTTTAGTTGTAAAGGGTAAGGAAAAGCCCTTATTCTTGATAATATGAAAGTTTTAAGCGTTCCATATTTAAACTGGGCGCCACTGTCACGCCGATCGCACGTTTAGTACATTCAAGACTTTTCTTCTCGAAAATGTAATGAAAAATGCTGCCAGAAAATTTTAAAATGCATCTTATGGTTCAATGTTCCTACAACTATAGAGATTAAAGTTTTGTTAGTTAAAAACTCGAGAGGAGAAAATAGTCAAAGATTCAAAGTAGAAATGTTATATATAATGAAACTAGTTTACAGTTTTTCTTTTTACTTGTAAAATAAACATTTCAAAAATAAGTATATTTTTTTGCTTCTTTTTCGGTTTTTGTCTTTCTTTAGTGTCTTCTTTTGCCTTTATTGCGATTTCTAGTGCCTTTTCTTGCCTATTTCGCTATTTTATTTTTCCTTTTTTTTATAGGTTTTCAGGTCCTAAAAATCCGTTCCCTGTTCATCACTAATATACTCTTGGCACAGTTTTCTTTTGGCGGCGGGATTGTTGAATATTTGCAAAACTGCAAAAATATGGAAAGGTATAAAGGTATAAATTATCGAATTTAATAATTAACATTTATTATTAAATAGTAATTTCAAGAAAGTTGATATGCCCGCACCCCAAGGAAGTATTATCGAGGCAGACAACACAAGCTCAAGCAGCACCACGGAAGACCGGCCTCCGCCCAGAATTTTTCACAATTGAGCAATTGTAAAAATTTTCATTTTTAATCAAAAAGGTTTTTCTTGAAACTACCTTCTTTTCGGTATCATGCAAATAGCCTTTAATTTGTTATTGGATGTAAGAAGTCTGTACCTATTTTGCTGTATTTTTTTGTGAAAAAACGAATAAACATTTGCATACTTTTAACCTTTTTTAAGCCTTAACAATTTTTTATTCAGCTGTTTTTAGCTTTTTTTTGTCTATTTAGCTGGATCGCTGAAAAAATTCTGGCAACACTGGTCATAATTTTTGACTAATTTCTAACACCACACATGCATACGTATGTACATACTAAATATGTATAAATATAATGACCAATACTTAACACTTACACTCATATCGATGTTCTAAATACATATATCTATACATTTGCTGTGCAGCAATCGAGCAAAATATGGGGAAAGCTTCAAGGCAAGAGGAATCTATGGTTGCACTGCTCCCCAATTCAGCGCAGATGAGTGCGATTCACGCGTCACCTCGCGCAGTGGCCCAGCAGGCACACATTCGCCCAATTTCCTTTGCACGGGGAGCTTCCTCAAACAGTTGCCATAAAAATTCTTATCAGAGCGCAGCCACGCATTTTTTCATTTCTTTCGTTATAAAAATATCGAGCACCAACAGAGTCAGTACGAGCACCCACACTCATCAATTCAAGCTGGTCTAGGCGGGAAGGTGCACCAGCTTTAGATCATTACTGACTGTCGCTTGAAGGTATCTACATATATACATATCTACATACATGTGTGTGCTGTGTGCTGTAGCAGAAGCCGTGGTAAGTATCTTCTGGGTTTTGCAACAAGGTACGCCAGTGTCACCTCAAACGAGAATGATATTGAACACCAGCTCGTCAAAGCACCGGAGATTTACAATTTAATGTATACATATGTACATACTTGCATATGTACAACCGTGAAAATATTTATGTCGAAGTACGATTTGCGGTTGTTTTTTTTTTGTTGCTACCCACTTCTTGTTTATCTACTCATATTTTTTGTCGCACTTTTTCTCCACCGCTGCGTTTTAATTTTTCTTCTTGCCAATGACTGCTGATGAATGATAGATGGATTATCATTTTGTTTGGCGTAAATTGAATTTGAATTTTCTACCGATGATCAAAATGTATTATTCAAGAAGCGACATGTTGTTGTAACGGCTTGAGTAGTCTAGGGCAACATCCTGAATATTTCTGTGTAAGGTGCTTTAAGTCTTTAAGAAAATATATGTATGTACATACATAAGTTCATAGTACATATGCACAGATATTGAAGACAACAATAAATATTAAGAGCATTTGCAAAAAAAAAAAATAATAATAAGCTTTGCAAAAAGGAAGCGAAATAAAGAAATTTGCAAGACTGAAGCTGGCAGCCTCTCAGCCGTGGATTGACAAACTATGCGTTACCAATTTGCTTGCAGGAAAGTCTAAAAAATTGCATTAACAAACAAAGTCGATATGTGGAGGCCAAAATGCGCAACAACAAACTTGAAAGCAAAACTGCAAACACTAATAACAAATCCTTCAATAATTCCGGTTGGCTTGCTCCGCTCTTATGCCTTGTACAACTCGGAAACTCATGCAACACAGTTGAGTAGTTGGCATTTGTTGTTGCAGTGGTGCAAGTGGTGGTTGTTGTTGTTGTTGTCGGAGCCATTGTCGAGATGAAGAACATGCTTTCATGCATCAGCTGTAGCTCGAATTCAAAAGGATAATCAAAAATTCGCGATTTTTTCCATTTTATTTCTCGTTATCCTCCGTTTTCTTTCCGGTTTTCTCTTTTCTTTCGACCATGTCTACATTTTTTTGTTTTTTTGTTTGTTTTTTATGCATTCTTCAACAACACCAACAACACTATTAAGCCGAATATGGCTGCTTCAATGACTTACTAACTTGTACAATACTGTTATTGTTGTTGTTGTAGTTTTTGTAGTTTTTGCAAGCCAATGATTTGTTTCTATTTTTCCTTGTTTGGCCTCGTTCGCTGCCGCTTTTCATCCTCACATTCACACATACATACATGCCGCACATCCATAACTCAATAACGCGCGAACACTACTGCGGTATGCAGGGGCAGCGACGAAAAGGACTTTCTGCCGTCCACCCGAGCATGCAACCATAATGCATCCATGTTTGCAAGTAGCAGCCAGCCAGCCAGCCAACAGCCAAGTAGTAAAGCTCACATAACAATCACAGCCTGCAAAGGTTTGTAGAAGTAAGAAGAAGAAGAAAATGTCTAATGAAACTATATATTATTGTGCCTGCATGTATATACATACAAACATATGTAGGAATGTTCAGTATGTATGTACACCCATATGTGGGTTTTAGTACCAATACGCATGCATATAATACTTCAACAAAACTTATGCAACTTATGTACATACATACACCCAAAATACATTCATAAACACAAACATATGTATTGCATGTTGCATATCACCAAGGACCTTTAGTAGTAGGTTCGCATGCAACAAATTACCCAAGCAGTAGACTCGCCTGAGATGAAATTGAAGCACCGAAAACTTTACATTCTAGTGCATGCATAGAAGAAGCAAGGAAGTGCTGTATTCAAGTGACAACAACAACAACTGCCAAGTAAGTTCATATGTAGTAACGTATTCAGTGCAATTATGAAATTCCTGCCACATCATTTTAGTTAACTTACATTTTGAATATGTACATCAATTTTATTTGAATTTTATGCATTCTTCTTGAACCGAGTGCGCACAATTTTTATTGTACGTAGAATTTTATTTAGTTTACATTAAGGAGTTGGCCACAATTTGTATGTAAACGAAAAATTAAATTTTATGCGGGATAGAAATACTGTACCGTATGAATGAAAAGTAATAATGTGTTTTCATTTCTACCGAAAAATGTTACCTTCTCATTGCCCTGTACGTACAAATACTAAGAAGATGGCAATGAGAAGGCAACATTTTTTGTAGAAACGAAATTACCCTAAGCAATCGCTTTTTCTTAAAATTTAAGACCTTTTATTAAAATTTATTTAAAAAAATTGAAACCGGAAGTCGGTAATGCCATCATAAGATAGAGGATACCTGATTTGGTAGGTCATATTTTGGTGTTTTTCAATAAAAAAGCATTTCCCTCCATTTTAGAAGGGGTGAGCGGGTGATCTAGGACACCCTGCATATATAAAGGATTAGTTCATTCTATAAAAAGCTACTGCCACGACAATTTAACTAAAATCATGAACTATTATGTTATGAATAAGTTTGAAATTAAAATTAGTTCACAATTTTTTTTGGCGATTTTTATCACCAATAGAATAGAACAAGTTTGTGACGTCAATTGAACAAAGTCAAATAAAAAAAAAACTACTACCACGTTTCTATAAATATACAAAAAGCAGAAAATAATTTTTCCTAGACGCACAGAATTTGTGCCTCGATAAGTTTTGATTTTAAAATTTTATCAAAAATCATTAAAACAATTTATGAAATTTAATATGTAAAACCTTTGGGAACATGCAATATCTGATTTGTTTATACACGGAGATGTAATGATAAGGGAAGACAAAAATATGCAAATGCATATCGAATATGCAAATGCATATTATTACACAAAAGACATATTTTGCTGAAAAGCATAAAAATGATTATTTTGGTAATAACCATAATACCTATACCTTTGCGCAGATAGCCAGGGTTTCTGTTGAAGTTTTTTAAATTGATAAAAAAGAGGAAGCTGACATACAACGAAAGGTTCAGTTATTTGTAAATTTTAATATATCGCACACCGTCCTCAAAAGAGTCACAACTCAAAATTTGGCATTTTTGAAATTATACACTAAAAATGTACACAGAGCTTTTATTTATCTTTCAGCAAAAGCTGGAGCAAATTTTTGTTATAATTTGTTAAAAAACCTAAGGTAAAGTCGCCCTTGCCCATATGATTAGCATGTGCTACGAAATAGTTTTTCGAATTTTCTGACGAACGTATTATTTTGAGTTGTGACTCTTTTGAAGACGGTGTGCGATATGTACTCGTAAAAATATTTCGAGTGTTGTTTTTCAATGGTGAAGTTTAGTGCTAAACCGGTTTTTGGGGTTGAAAAATTCAATGAAAATTTAACAAAAGAGAAATAATCTTTGCGTTCGTTTTTAGCGAAAGCTGTTCAACAGTTTCCAGGAGTGTTGCGAACTTGTTATGCGATAATCGAAAAAATTTTCGTTGGAAAATATACATTGTATAGTAGGTTTTGGGGCATATATAAAGCATATTTTTAATATTTCGGAGTCATTTTACTGATCATATAATTAATTTTTTTGTGCATATTTATAATTATAATGATAATGATAATCATAATGATAATAAACAAATAAGAGAGTAGGTGGCGCGAATATATTAAACAATACCCGGCGTGCTTCACTGCGCCTTAAACATATTTTTGTGCTGTTTTATACCCGTATTGTAATACTTCATTTATTTTATCAATTTAATTGAATACAATTTCTCAAACAGGTGGCAACCCTCAAAAATGTTTTCGGCAGTAAACTTTCCTAATTTAGATACCCATATTGCACTATTCAATTTATCTTATCAATTAAATTAAATTAAAATTTTCCAACAGATGGCAACCTTAGGCAAACATATTTTCGGCTGTAAGCCTTCTTGAGCCTCTTTCTTTTGACAGCCATTTTGCAATATTCACTTTGTCTTATCAATATACTTAAGCTGCAATTTTCAAACAGATGGCAACTCTTTAATTTTTGTATCAGATCGTGCTGCGACAACAGTACAAGACAATCGACACCTTCCTTACCCTTTCCTCAATGTTAGGCTTCCACGACAGCCACCGTTAATCGCCCACCTAGTTACCTGGTTCAGGTAACGTTGAGCCAGATCAAAAAGGGTGTCTAGAAATCGTTCCACATCATCTACATAGGCGATCACCCGACAATCCACTTTTTTTTTAGTTTCTCTAGAAGGCCGTTTACAACCGCAATCCAGAGCAGGGGAGAGAGAACACCACCTTGTTGAGTGCTCCTAATGAATCTGCACTGAGTGCAGGCGCTCCCCTACTCCGTCGCGACATACTTGATTATTGCCTCTGGAGTGACATTGTTGAAGGCCCCCTCGACATCGAAGAAGGCCCCTACT